ACCCCAGGGCTTTTTCTTCTCTCCCAACCAGTCCTCCCAGTTCTCCCTCAGTGGGGCTCAGACATCCAGTCACAAACACAGGCAAGGTAGCCCCTCCTCAGTGGCCTTTGCCCTCCAAGCTCCCTGATATCATGGTCCTACAGGAGCCTTTCACCCCCACACCCTATACTGTCTACCAGCATAGCTATAGTTGCAACTCCCTGCACTCCCTCGACCTTCTGCTCTTAACAGGGAATTGTCTGACTCCATGTAGGTGGGATTCATTCTGCAATCACGATTGGTTTAGCCCCAGGCTCTCCAGCCCACAGGGCGTGACACCTGTTACAAGTCAATATCCCTCATAAATGCTGAAAAAAGAATGTTTTTTGCAACTGATGACGATCCTATGTCATTTGAACCTTGGGTCATGTCTCTATATTGAAATATAATTTCTTTTATTAATTTTCTATTTTTTAAGCCTTTGATTCTGGCTGGCACCAACACTACTGCATACATTAGAAACGTGGAGACCATGAAAAATTCTAGAGGTGGCATTCCCAGGAGCAAGTCTCTTTCTGGTGTAATAATGTCCAGAAAGAGGGAAGGTGGAGCCGTCAGTCACCTACCTGCCGTTTTCCAATGTACCCCTTTGTTCAAAGGCCTCATTCTTTGTGTTGCCTACATTAGCTGTTTTCTGATCATTGAATGATTCTGTCATCTCAGAGCAGGCATTAAAATGAACTGCTGAGCAATTAAAATCCCCATAGAAACAAGATCTCTGGGTGATAGTGGATGTCTTCTCAAATTGGTTATTTTGTAAAGAATCAAATAACTTGTTAGCTAAAGGTTTATAAAGCTGATGATTCAGACAATTGTTAGAGTCACCACCTTTTGCAATTTTGAAATAAACACACTGATGATTCCCTGAAGTGTCTACCCAGCACTGTTCAACTGAAGATATTACAGATAATTGCCAGAATTATCTCCTCCTCAACATGTAAAGATTTTCCAAATCAGATTATTTTTGCAGCTATCCACCCAAATCAGTTTGCAGTATTTTCTTCCAAGCTGCTGACCTGGGTGTGTATGGTCAATACTGCGGGGGGAGTGCGTTGCAAATTATAAATTGGATTTTGCAAGTCCCTGTTGTTTTTAAATGGATCTGCAACCTCTTTCCCTCACAACAGCAGTTAATGTGTCCTAAAGATGTTGAATTGCCCCTTAATGAGGACTGGGATATGCTGTTGCAGACGGATTTCACCATCTTTCTGTTTTATTGCTAGTGGATTTATGGGGCTGGCTTTTAGTTTCAGGCTGTGGGAGGAGGAGAAGGGTCTAAAAATGTCAATATTAATCGATACGGGAGCAGAGAAATCATCGAATATCATTCTAAGAGGGAAACATTAGAAGTATCTTTCCGTAGAGCCAAAACCTTAGCAAAGTACCCCCCCCCACACACACACACACATGGGATGTGGCACTTTCACCACAATTTGAGATATTGAACTTCAAAGACAGCCATTTTATGTTCCAGGAATTCTGAGCCAACCTGAAACAAAACCTGATGGTAACAGGGTGCAGCTCTTGCTGCGTTCTGTAGCAGCCTTAGTGCGAGACCACTTACCGATCTTCCTGAGGCACACCCAGGATTTGAGGGGAACAGTGACCCCATCTGATGGCCCTGGCCACACACGCCAGAGGAGATGGGATTCTGTCCTTCAGATACCTTGCAGAGTATGGGGGAGCAGGTCTCCAAGCCTTCCCTGTGAGATGAGACCATCACATAGTGATAGTATTTCCATTTTTCAAACAGGTGTAGCTCCAAAAAGACCAGCTTCTAACTGAAAATCAAAATCAAGGGGGAGAAAAAAGCACCCACCTTCTCTGGCAGGAGAAGAGCTGGACTGTGAGCTCGTTTGCGGAAGTGTGGGCCTTAGAACAGAAAGTCCATCAGTGCTGCAGAACCAGCATTTCTACTCAGGGTTGTGAGCATGGATCTAATGCAATATAATAGTGGCCCACAACCAGGACTTAGAGGGCCCAGCCCATACTGTGTAAGCAGGGCTCTCCTGTAGGTGCCTGAGCCACTAGTGGCTGTTTCTTGTGCTATCCCTTGTAGCTCTCTCCCCCGTGGGCACAAACTATTCCCCTCCTCCTCCTCTCTGCCCTTGTGTTGTGGCTACTCACTGACCCAGGCAGTCAAACACACTCTCACTGACCTTCCTGCCTTTTTCTGAACCCAGGGAGGCAGGAGACTATTGAAGTTTGGAGGAGCCTGAAGCCTGTTGCGTAAGAAGGGGAACTGTCCACCTCCTTACTCTCACAGGACATCAGGCCAGAAGAGGTGCTATTTCACTGAGTGGGCAATGAGGGAAAGGAGCACACATGTTTGATGGGTTTTGTTCTAAAGAACGCAAGAAGATTAACCTAGACAGGAATGACTGACAAGCTGAACTGCTTCATTTTTACTCTAAAGTTTATATTTTTTAAGGATGTCTATTGACTTGCTTGCTGAGCTTTTCATTATTCTTGGACAGATCTGTGAGAATGTGCTAATTGCCCATAATTGAAGATTGCTTTTAGATTATCCAAGTGTTTCTGCAGCACAAGGACAATGCAAAACAAATTAAAGTCTTGATTCACTCACCATCTAAACAGTACAGACACAGTTTACCCCTCGCTGTACAAAGCTTTTGATACAGTCTCCCACAGTATTCTTGCCAGCAAGTTAAAGTAGTATGGATTGGATGAATGGACTATAAGGTGGATAGAAAGCTGGCTAGATTGTCGGGCTCAATGGGTAGTGATCAACAGCTCGATGTCTAGTTATCAGCTGGTATCAAGCGGAGTGCCCCAGAGGTCGGTCCTGGGGCCGGTTTTGTTCAACATTATTAATGATCTGGATGATGGGATGAATTGCACCCTCTGCAAGTTCGCAGATGACACTAAGCTGGGAGGGAAGAGGTAAATACGCTGGAGGGTAGGGATAGGGTCCAGAGTGACCTAGACAAATTGGAGGATTGGGCCAAAAGAAATCTGATGAGGTTCAACAAGGAGAGTAGTGAACCACTGGAATGGGTTACCTAGGGAGGTGGTAGAATCTCTATCCTTAGAGGTTGTTAAGGCCTGGCTTGACAAAGCCCTTGCTGGATGATTTAGTTGGCGTTGGTCCTGCTTTGAGCAGGGGATTGGACTAGATGACCTCCTAAGGTCTCTTCCAACCCTAATATTCTATAATTCTCAGAGTAGGTGAATATATCCCACTACTTCCATGTGTAACTTATTTGTTCCTTCTGTGATTTGCTCTAACCTAATATCTTTATCTTGTTGGGCAACATCTGATTTTGCTTTCCATGGTGTTTATACTTAGCTTATTTAAATGTGGGATAGAAGACACTGGGTTTATCACACTTATCAATTTCCTGCTATTCCAAGGACACTGGGCATTGGTGCACCTTGGCTTCAGTGTGTAGTTGGTTGGATGGCGTTGGTGGCCTGTAATATACAGGAGGTTGCAAACTGGATGATCTGATGGTCCCTTTGGCCTTAAACTCTATGATTCTATGAAATGTTCCCATTCTCTTTGTCACAGTCCAGGGCAACTGCACCTGTGGTCCCCCTCTATGGTCCAGCAAAGGCTCCCACTCAAGGCTCCTGAGCCATTACCTCTCTTGGGTGGAGACCTGTGTCTTACTTGCTCCTGACTGGGGTTTTTCCAGGCTGCACTGTGAGTTCCCCAGCAAGTCAGACTGCCTAAACAGGCCTGCTTTGCTTTCTCCTCCGAGGCTATAAACGCCACCCTTATAAGTTACCACATAGCCCTTTCTAAGCAAGCAATGTTTTAAGGTAAAAACATTATGGAATAAACATATTGAAGAAAAAAAACCCAACAACCCTACACTCACGGTAATAAGGTTAGCAGAGATCTCCTGGATTCCATCCGGGTGCTGGTCAGTGTCAATCCACCAAGTTTTTCCCTGAGGTCACAAGTTGACAATAGTCATTCCTTTATACATTTTGAGTCTTTGATTTGGGACCCTGGGAACAGGTAATCAGCAGACTAAGGCTTAAGTCTTGCATAACTGGAGGAGGAACTTTACATACATCTCCCCCCTAGAGATTTAATAGGAAACACAGCTAACTTTGTTTGCCCCATAAGTTAATTCTTGTCTGGCACATTGTTTCAAACAGTCCTTTGAAGCTCATAACACTTCTGAGGGTTTACACTACTCATGTTTTCCCCACTCTAGAAGTTACATACAATTCCACAATAATACATAAATGTTGCATTTTTAATACAATGGACTCCAAAGCTACTTAAACTTAATTTGATAGGTTTTATCCATGGATATTGCATGAAATTGCCATATCTGTCGCACTGTCATTATGACAGCACATTCAATATGCCAACACAAAGTCTGCTGATTCTCGTATGTTTCTAACAGACCATTCTTAGGATGCTTCATTACAAAGAGCACTAGCAATATACATGATCAGCCCTTTTAAAATCTTTTAATTTTTATTGATTGTTTTGCAAGTACACGTAAAGGACTTTGACATATAGTTTACAGTACAATAGCCATTTATATCACCTTTTCACATTTTGCTTCTCTAAGGGACAAAATCATGTATTTGTTTAAATAATTAGAGAAATAAGTCATAGTGATATGACAGAATCACCACCTTCTTCAACTCAAGGGCATTATGTTATCTCTGTCTTGTGAAGTGCTGCCATCCAGGTAATGATCTCATTGATATCCCATTGGACCTTCATCATGCTTCCTGGCTTTCATGTTGCCATGGAGAAGAAAAAGGAGAACCTGTCATCACAACTACTACCTAGTTTGTACATTTCAACTATGAACCAGACTTGCTTCTGCTCTTCAACAGGAAAGTTGTTTGGTTGACTAACAAGAATGGCTTTGGCTGCTATGAAAATCAAGTTTATACATTTGCACTCATCATAATACAAGTCTTTCCAAAACATGACCACAGAATTAATACAGTTGGCTTATGGGGGGGGGGGTCACTTGACATTGGTCTAAGAATATAAATACCCTCCCATAGTATCAAGTTACTGAGGCAAATACAGATAGCATGGTAGTCCGATATTTACACGATAGTTGTATGTTGATAAGTCCTGATTCAACTCCTATCTCTGCTCACTAGTGTAACTCTATTGCCTCGAATTCTCCTGAGTGACACTCATACAAGTGTGAGGAGAATCAGGTCCAAAACATTCATCACACGTGGCAGTCCCCAAATGCTCTTTTATACTCTTGATCAAGTTTTGAATTTTCACTAAAGGAAAAATATTCCTACTTGCTGTACAGACTTTAGCTAATTAATCCACACAAGGTAAATCTCTCTTTTCAGTTAGGGAAACTGAAGCAGAGCATGTGTGTGTCTTTTCCAAGGCCACAAGTGAACAATCAGAAAAGCGAAGATTATAACTCAAGAGTTCTTGGCTCCCAGTCCTTTGCTTAGGGTTTTGAGATATTGAACTTCTAATTACTATTAGACCATTCCTCTCTTTCGAACATCAAGTCTAATGATAATCAGAGACTATAAGCGCGTCTGAATGAAGGATTTTAGGGGGAGAAGTAATATATATTTGCTGCTGCTCTCTCGCACCTATCAGATACCACAGTTGTGGTAAATATACTCTGAGGAAAACTTTAGACAGTCTCCACCAAATTAATTGCTATTGAGCTTAATTTAATATGGTTAATCCCATTAGATAACATTCAATTCTCTAGATTTTCTTAAAGATTTCCCCTCCTTTATTTAAACATACAGTTTTCTTTATAGACAAATTAAAAGTATTAAAGGAGTGGCAAATCCCCTCCTTACATAATATTCCCTTTGAAAAACAATATACACACTGAGTGTTCTTTAGTAAATCCAAGAGTAATTGCTAGCAGGAACCCATTTATGATCCCATCCATTCCATCAAATGTGGCTCTTAACTGATCCTCAGTAACAGAGATAATGATATGCACTTTTTACTTTCTACATCACCAGGACACTATACTCTCTCAACAGCAAACACTATCCGTGAAGGGTCTTTGTGGATTAGCTCAGGTTACTTAGCTGTTCGATCATCAACCCCAAATTGTTTTATGCAAACCCACAGTGCATTAGTTTCCATTATAGCAGAGCCATTACTGAGTAATCCCATAGAAATCTAGCTATACAAAACCCCTGGGAATAACTTCTTCAATCTGATTTTTTTGGTTTTACTTCAAATGGGTGGAAATGGTCAAACCGTTAATTGACATCTTTTCCCAGAGCTTAGAATATAGGAAACCTCCTGATCTTAGAGCTGGTTGGAAACGAGGGCCAGTGCAGGATTTTTGCTTGCAGCTATTCTGGAGTGCTTTTGCCAGTGTCACTTCAAATCTTTCAAACAAATTAAATATCAGACAAAACTCTCTTTGTATTAAACCCGACCTTAACACTACCACTTATGCAACAGCTTTCTTCTTCAGATATTCACTTGTAGGCCTTGGCTACACCCCCAAGTTATATACCGGTATAGTTAAAGGAGTACAACACCCCAGTGTGCACACGGTTATACTGGTGTACAGGTGCTTATGCTAGTATAGCTTATTACTTTAGGGAAAGGAGGAGATGCTGTTCTGGTATAATGCACATTTATACAGGTATAACTGGATCCACAGTAGGGGCTGTACCAGTATAGCAATACACATTCACACCCTTAATCAAATTAGTTATATCAGTACAAATATGTGTGGAGATCAGGCCTACTTTTACAAGAACCCCGTGAAGGAGTATTATTCCCCATTAAAGTGAGGGAAATGAAGGAGAGAAGCCCAAGGATACTGAGGAGCTAGGACATTGGAGGACTATTTCTGGCCCCCAGTGCTGTGTTCAGAACATCCCCCTACTCTTCCCACAACATGAAGCAAATAGCACTTTATGAAGTGGGAGACTCCCTCATCTGTCTCAAGTTCAGTTTTTCCTTTCTCCCTCTGCCTGGGTTGCTTATATTATGTATCGTTTTCTTTTGCATGGCTTCCTGGCATACAGCTGACTCTTACTGCCGAAGTCACGTGTATGACAGGACCTCATTTAACCAAAGCATTTTGGGAACTTCCAAAATATTTAGAAGAATTGGGAAGGAAGCCACTGCATCTGGAGCTAGTACTAGACTTTGGTTAACGTGGACTTTTGTGAATTGGGGTCCCATGTAATGGAGTTACACTGTACTGGCCTGCGAAGGAAGGACCTGTGTTGTCAGAGTTATACTATATAGAAAAACAATCGTTCTCTTTGTAACTGAGTGGGAAAGGGAAAAGCCTTATCAAGTGGGGAGGGTAGGAAACCCAGGGAAAGGAAACTGCATTTCATCTTGACTGTGGCTTCTATGCATGCGGGTCCTGAAACACTACTGGCTCGCTGGATCAGCAAGAGCTGGGGAAAGAGCTGATAAACAGGGAGCCTATCACTTTACAACTTTCCTCAATCCGAATTTGAACAGTTGATAAAATGTCAGTTCAGAAAAGGAGCTCCTTTCCCTGACTCTTCCACAGTTACTAAACCCTTCTCCCCACAGCCCAGCATTATCCCTGTCCACGCACCTTTCCTCTCTGTGACCAAGGCCCATATCCCTTTGCAAGGCCATCAACTTGCCTGTTTGAGGGAAGAGACCCTTTGTGTTTCCCTCCCAAAGTAGCCCCTTTCTGAGTTACACATTTATGGGTTTCATCATTCAAATAGAAGGGACCAGAGTCATACTCTAGAAGGTGTCCCCTCTCCTCGTTAACACCAGTACATAGCACCATGGGAAATGATCATACATTCAAGGTTAAGGGCCCAATTGCTCCCATTGATTTCAATGAGAGTTTTGCCATTGACTTATTGGTAACAGGTTGAGGACCCAAGTTTTCACAAAAGAGAAGTGGCAGCCAATGTGTCAGATGTACATCTGCGGGTCTACATGTTTGCTACAAGCTCAGCAATCACCCCCCAGAAGAAAATCAACAAGTGCCTCACCATGCATTAGAATTACCATGACATTTGCAGTATTTCCACTTCCAGTGGTTAACTTGTTGATAAAACTTCAGCAAATGCACAGGCAGTTGGAAGTTGGCATGCACATTGTCTGTTTGCACAATAGGTCTGTACTTTTTAAAAAATGTAGTCCTCAGCAATAAGACTACTTCTACAAGGCATTTCCTTGGGCCAATGCTTATTAACAGTCATGGTTGTAGTATGATGTTATCAAAAAAGTAGGTATTAAAACTGGACTGTAATGTCATGTGAGAAACAGCTATACACAGCTATCACAGCCTGAGTCTAACTACTAGGAAACTACTTTAAAAGCCCTTTAAAAAAAGTATAATTGCAAAACAGACACTGATTTCCCTTCACTGAGCTCCTGTTTGGAAACAAGAACTCTGGCAAGTCCAGACCAGCCTGCTTTTCAGGTTGAAATCTGCCTCATCGGTATGAGATTTGGTGAAACCTAGAAAAAAGGAGAGAGAAAAAAATAAGTTGGCAAACACACGCAACAGTGCAAACTAGGTTATTGTAAGTATGTCCCCGACCCTTGATTTCCAACTATGAAACATTGCAGCAGCAGAAATCCCATTACCAACTTGCTTTTAATATATAAACATAGTTGAGATTTTCCAATGGTTATTGCACTGCCATTACAATATTAACACAAGACTGCCAAGGAATCCTTAGCTAATAAACCTCATTATCCTAAAATAGCTCAGCTTGTCCATCAATCTGCCTCAAACACCTGACAAAACAGAAGTGTCCTGTCATGATGGGCCCATGTAGAACAATTCAAAGATTGGGTTTAATAAAAATGGTATCCGTGGCTGTGCAGCCAGTTTGAATGGGATATAATCAGGAAAGACAGAGTATTTTCAGCTAGCATTAATACAGTGCAAGGTTATTTACACTTTCTTACCCTCCACCTCCCAACTTATTCCGTCACAAGGATATTTTTATTTGATTGTTTTCTAAGTCATTCATTCCCAGCATATATGGTAGTGTATAAAATTTAAAACCAATTAGTAATATAGACCGAGACAGAGCAGCCATCCTAGCAAAACAGAATGGGCAACAGAAAAATAACCCAAAAGGGAGAGCTGATGAAAAAAAGAATGCATGTGTGGGATGTGAAGTGGGGGGGAGGAAATTTGCTGGGGGTGGAGAGCTGAAACAGTGCACAAATGACTGATCCAAATTAATATGGCTATAACTAAGCTCTGAGTACAGAGACAGAGGGACACTGCTGGATAGCCCCAGGAAGGGATCGCCTTCTGCTCCCAGCCCCATGAAGAGCAAAGACAACCTGGATGACACCAGCTGCCTATGATGACAGAGAATACCTCCAGTACCTCAGGTCTAGATGATTAATCAGTCTCCATAAAATCTCACCCACTGCATTTCTTCTGCCTCCTTATCCCACCCATTTCACATTGCTGAACATGCTCACACATTATGTCTTTGCAACCATTAGTGGCCTGTTGCTTTTAGAGGTGCAGGTCTTTATTTCCTACAGATAATGCCCAGTTTAATTTCTTGAATTATTCTTCCTTGAACCACAATAAATCATCATTTACATGCAGTCTCTTGTGGAAGTAGCAGCTGATAAACCAGGCTTGGTTCATGCAGAGTGTATTTATTGTGCTGAATGTTAATGAAACATCTTGGTGGAATGAGACACTATACATTGATTTTTCAAAGCTCAGTGTAAAGTGGGATAATAAATCGCTACAAGTGTGTGCATTGAGCAGTGGGAGAAACTCCCTCAGTGTATGGACATCTTGGGACTGGTTCCAGGAGGCTTACATTTTCACATCTTAAAATGCATATGCACTGTATTTAGCATGGGGCAATTCTGCCAGCCTTGAGCTGTACTTCACTCCATGAGTGGTTCCACTGAAATAAATAAAAATACTTGAGGAGTAAGGAGCTATTGAAGGTGAGTGAGAATGGCAGACTCTATTCCTGTATTTTCTGACAACAGTGACAAAATCCAATTACAGTAAGTGGATATTGTTTGTCTGTTGTCATGGTTTTCAGTACCAGTGTGGCTTGGAGTGTTTTACATTTGAATGAGCACATTACGTTAAATCTCACATTTGTCTCATTTTTATTTGCACATCTGACACTACAGCTGTCCCTTGTGTGCCCAGCATTCGCTCCCTTCAAGGGTCTGATCCACTGAAAGTCAATGGGGTTGCCCATTCTTAGCACTCTTCAGAATCAGGCCTAAATATAACTGTTTGCTAAGAATAAATAAAATTAAATAAGCAGAAAAATGCTTGAGCAGCCCAAGGATGGTTTATGGTTTAAAATCAGGGAACCATCAAGTTTACAATGCATAGACTCCCCGTGGGTCTAAATCCCAACCGGATCCACTCAGTTCTATAGCCCTTTGAGGCAGATAAATACCTATGTTACAGAGTGTGTCTTTCTATCTGTGGCATGTCTCAGAGGTCTGCTCTGCTTGGACATCAAAAATCCCAGGGCATTTTGGCTGAGGCCCTTGTGTCCTCAGCCAAAACTTTCTCCTTCCCACCTCCAAGGGTGTGATGTGAGTTGATTGTATGGTTGGGCATATGGTTTATATGCCTAAAAAGTTACTATATCATGCTACCTGGAAATTATTTTACTTGCAGATAAAGGCATTAGTTAAAGAGCATATTCTAGCCTCTTTGTACAAAACTCCCTTTGTCAATGTAAGTTCCACGGTGGGAGAGGGGTGACAAGGAGAGAAAACAGGCTTTGCATTTAAAACATTCTCCATCATATAAACAAGCCATTGTTTTTATAAAAAGGAAAGACATCTCTATGAAATAAAACCACAGAGAAGTTGATGATATCCCATACTTTGTATTATTTTTCATTCATTGGCTTGAACTTTGGTTAAAAAGAAACGGAACTGTCTAACAGCTGCTTGATAGTCAAACATGGGTTGTTTTTCTTGGTCTGAAAGCCATTGTTTTGAGCTCCATGTTAGCTTTTAATGTCTTTTTGTATCCCTGATCTAGAATTGAGCTTTCACAGGAAAAAACAAGAAGCTGAATCTTTATGTAGACAGACTTGCCTTATCTATTTTTATAATGCAATACATCTACGAAAGAATGTTTCCTTATTCTGTTCTCTCATGGTCTCATCAAAGCTATAAACTAGTACAAGCCAAAAGAGATTACTCTGCCAAGCTGATCTACAAGCCAGGCGGTAGCAGATGTGATTTAAGTGTACAAGATAAGCCAATACTTTGTCTTCACAGCCTTGTGAAATCCAGGGTGAATTGTTTATTTTTGATACAATGCCAGGTTCCTAATAAAGATTGGTGACTCTAAATCACTTGTCCCTTGGCATGTAGCTGCTGTGGATGTCTTCGAGGAGTGGCTTTTTCAAGCACATAAACCGGCTGTGAAAATAACAATGTACAGCCAAATCTCTCTCAAAGAAACCATCATATTTCTAAATGGCTTTCCTTGTATATTTTTCTTACAAGAAGCAGTATGGAGCCAAAAGGATCTGTATTATGGGCAGCACCCTGTATGGCTCAGTATAAAATTAAGTACAAATTGTGCAGTCATGCATTAAACCTTAAATTGTAACAAACCCAAAAGACAGTTATTTTAGCTAACGTTTTCTAAAGCCATTGAAAAATACTATCAACAGAAATGTTCAACTCCATAATCTATTTTCCTTAGTTCTATTCAAAATTGTACTCCTTCACAGGCAAAGATATAAGATGAGAGAATTCTGCCTTTCATTTCTATCTGCACAACGTCATTAAAGTCATTAAAAAACACCAACAAGGAGTCCTTGTGGCACCTTAGAGACTAACACATTTATTAGGGTATAAGCTTTTGTGGGCTAGAACCCACTTCATCAGATGCATGGAGTGGAAAACACAGTAGCAGGTGTATATATATATACACATAGGACATGAAAAGATGGGAGTTGCCTTACCAAGTCGGGGGTCAGTCTAACGAGACAATTCAATTAACAGTAGAATACCAAGGGAGTAAAATCATTGTTATTGCTCTGGTGTAAACAGGAGCATTTTGGTGTATGAGGAAAAGCATTCACAACGCAGCTCTTCGGGTATTATTCTACCACAGAGTTCAGGGCTTGAGCTAGGTGAAATGTTTTTGATGAATAAACTATTCGCTGAAAAACGCAGTTTCAGTCAACCGGAAACTATTCACGAATTTGTGTAAAGTTCTCCAAATAGTTTTGACTGAACCCCAACCCTGAAATGTTTCAGTAGCATTGAAATGAAAATGCTTCATTTTGACCCAACCCAATATTTTGTTTCAATATTGGACATTTTGACAAAAGTGGACTAAGTTTACAAAACACTGGGTGGAGAAGAGGGAGGCAAGACCCCTCCGTTATAACCTTTAGGCCAGTAGTTAGGACACTCACCTAGGATATGGGAGACCCAAGGTTCAAGTCCCCCCTCTGCCTGATGAGAAGGGTCTCCCAAGTTGAAGACAATGCCCCAAGCCATGGGGCTATGGAATATTCTGGGGTGACTCTCTCTCAATCTCTCCTCTTGAAGCTGTTCCAGTTTGTATAAACTATTAAATAGGCTGTATCAACATTGCAAAACAACAACCACCACCACCACCACCACCAACCATGGCTGCGAGTTTCTCAGCCCAGGTAAATTGATTTGGGCTCAAATTATGGGGCTAAAAATAGCAATATTGATGTTCCCACCCAGGCTGGAGCCCCCCAACAAAGGAGGAGGGCCTCAGAGCCTAGACTCTAGCCTGCATGGGAATATCTACATTGCTATTTTTAGCCCCACAACATGATCCCTGTGAGCGTGAGTCAGTTGACCCAGGCTGTGAGTCTCTCTGCCATGCTTTGGGGTGGTTTTTTTTTTTCTTGCAGTGTTTATGTATCATAGTCATTGGAGTGGGTCTTAAATGTGGATCTACCCTAATGAGTACCCTAGCCAACAGGCTATACAGTCACTCTCTTCCCCTGGCCCAATGACTATCAGTTGTCATTATGAATGACTGCCACATGTGCTACTACAGTAGCTTCAGCCATTAGCTCTTTAAATGCCTATCACAAATGGCCCATAAAAATACATTAAATATTTTGTGGCTTTTTAAACTTGCAAGATTAAAGCAGAGTGGATACAGAGTGAATGCAAAAAAAGATGAATCTAAAAGGTCAATTTTCAATTCCTTTGCATTGACTTTACTGATTGCATGAGAGGCTCTCTGTGATTGGAGAAAAATAAATTCGGACATTATCAAAGTATGCAAAAAATCAATCCCTTTCCTTAAAGCATTACTGGAAGGATGATCAAAACCAGTTCTTTTGTGTAAAGTACTGCTGAATACAGAGGGTTGTTTCAAAAGAGAAATTTTAAAACACAAGGTTAATAGAGTAACTTCAGTAAGGTGTTATGTGGACAATGAATTATGCAGCCAAGTTGTTTTTATAGCAATGTGTTATACTCTGCCAGTTGCAGGTCATTTCAACATTAAAAATAGATTCAGCTAATTGGGAGGAATTCTATTTTTAGAAGTGACCTGCCTCTACCTGCTTTAAAAAAATGCAGAACAATAAAACTAACACACAATATTTTGGCGCTGTTTAGTGAAACGTATTCCTACAGATGCAAATGCTGAAGCTTATGAAGTAAAAATATCTGGCCTGCGATCTTACAATTCTCAGCCCCACCTGGCAAGGACTCCACAAGGGGTTGTTGTCCACATTAGTGTATCCCACTGTAGCACTGGAGCCATGTTTTCTTTATTATTTTGTATTTTGGTAGTATAGAATGCAGAGTGTACTAGGTAGCACCCTCACCTGAAGGACAGCATCTGTCCTCACTTTCCCTGCCCCGAAAGGTTTTACCAAGTAAGAGGACAAGCACCATATTGTGGGTGTGGAAGGAGGATAGTGGCAGGGTGCTACCCCAGAGCACCCCCTGGTGGCACAGCAATGTCCTGTAGGCACACTTTCCTCAGCTCCCTTTAGTGGGGTTCAGAAATCAATTACTTGCCTCCACAGTCTTTAAACAATATTTCCCTTCCCCTGGGATCTAATTCAGGGATTCTCAAACTGGGAGTCGTGAGGTTATTACATGGGGGGGGTCGTGAGCTGTCAGCCTCTACCCCAAACTCCACTTTGCCTCTAGCATTTATAATGGTGCTAAATATATAAAAAAGTCTTTTTAATTTATAAAGGGGGGTGTTCGCACTCAGAGGCTTGCTCTGTGAAAGGGCTCACCAGTACAAAAGTTTGAGAACCACTGATCTAATTTATTTAGCTTATACAACTTCCCTCAAAGAGCTCCCCTTTACGTTCAGGAGGCCTTACCAGCCCTCTCTCTTGGGGACTTGATATTTTTAGTCCTGGTCTATAGATTCTTCCCTTATGTTCAGGGGTCTTCCTAGCCTTCCTCTTTGGAGTGGGGGGGGGGGACTTTCTGTCAAACTTCTCCCTCCTTGGCACAGAAGGCCCTTGTTGCAATCTGATCTTTACCTCAGGTCAACTGTGGCTTTCAATCAGCTTCTCCGCCAGTAGACCCCGTTGTCCCTTTTCTACCTGGACTGGGAGAGGTCAGCAAGTATCAACCTTCCACTGCTGGTGTCTCTAGGCTCTGAGAGAAGAGGCAGCACATACACAGCCCTCTTTCCCAGAGCCGGTGAGGGTTGGTTGGGAGAGAAGGGAGCCCTGTCCCACCCTCTCTACAAAAGCTCTTGGTCTTGTCCCTTAAGGAAGAGCAGCACAGGTTGTCCCCAGACACAGACTGTTCCCTGGACCGCTTCCTCTCTTCCCATATCTGCCTTTGTCATTTTTCTAGATCCTTGAGTACCAAACCATAAAGGGGCCACAGCATGGCACAGGGGTGGAAGGACCTGTAGGCCCTACTACTAATAAGCGGACAGATTACCTTTGTCACAAGAATACATTCAAAATATGTACAATCATTTTATGCACAATATACGGCATCTGTTTTATTAAATATTCATCATTAGTTATACCCCACTGCCCCTCAAGTCTTTCCATCTTTAATTGGCCAGTTTCATATATGCATCACTGAAGAAGTGAGACTCTTGAGAAGGGATTTGAAGGATGAGAGGGTAGCAGCCTTATGGATTAGTACAGAGAGAATGTTTCACACACATGGGGCAATTTTAAACTGTGTGTTGGAAAATGTAGTAAGAAAAATCAGTACACAAAAGGGGGCTGGGTGAGCTAATTTTTACACCATTGAACAGGCTCAAATATTCACCCACCATCCTAGTGAAGCTGACCTATCCCCTTCAATGCATTAGCTCAATTTCACTCCCCAATTGTCCTTGCCAATCCAGTCCCCCTCTCCAGTTCTTCTACTGCTCCCATCCAGTCCCCAATCCCAGGCCTAACACCCTCACTCGCTCTCACCTTAGTCAACCTACAACTTCCCTCCCTGCTCTCATGGCAAGCATCCATTCGATCTAAACTTCAGTACCACCCTCTGCCCCGACACAGTCACCCACACACACTTTGAAAGGTGAAAGCTATTGGATTACAAAAAAAAAAGGTTTATGTGCTTTTCTTATCTGTTAAAATGGCTAGGTCTGGAACATGACGACTACATTTGTTCATACAACGACTTACTGTAAAGTCACAGCCAGTGCTTTTCTTGATTTCATCCACTGACAGTCCTTCCCAGATTTCAATCAAGGTCAGTCCTTTTTTCTTGTCCACATCAAACACAGCCTGTCAGATTCAAATAAAATATGAGTCATTTTTAGTGTAAGAAGGGATAATAAGGAAATGACTATTCATATAATAAAAAATGGTGAACTGAAATATGTACATTTCCATTAAAATGGTAACAAATTATGCTATCTACATGTGTCAATTTTCTTACGTATAACTGTCCAGTAAATATCAGTGTAATATTCATTAGTACTTGAAAGAATAAAAACAAACAGGGTAGTTTCATACTTTCACAATATTATCTGTTATTCTTTGGATGAATTCAGCCCTCTTAGACAAATTGGTAGGGATGGGACCTACATCTTACTGGGCAATTCCGGTTGGATTTTATGCTTGCCTGGGAGGTGACAATTGGTGGTGGAAGAAGGGATTGCTTGCTTTCTTTGTTTTTTAGGTTAGGGTCAGAAGTGAAATACATTTGATTGTTTGAAGGGTCCATGGGTGATTTTCTCCTCTGTCAATTGCACCATCCAATTTTGTCCAATTTGATTATTTTGAGTCCAGGGCTGCCAATGAAGCAGAGGGATTTTTTTTGTTTTTTTTTGTTTTTAAACCCAGAACACCTGGGATAAAGTGGCAAAGCCTGTGTAAGTGAGCAAGGACAGCACCTTTTGAAGCTTTTTCTGGCACTCTGGCTACTGCTTTGCACTTCAACAGCTCACAGCACATTTAATAATAAATAAATAAATAAATAAATAAATAAAGGCTGTTTCTGTATTTCCACAAACGCAAAATACAGGTAATGTGGGATTGAATGGGTGCCTGCCAGACAGAGTTATACTGGTTGCATGCTAGTAGCCAATAAAACTCATAATATATCTAGACATTTTCCCAGAGAAAGTCAGTTGAAAAAGGTGAAGGTTTAACCTGGAATCAAAGGGAAGTCACAGATTTGACACAGGAGTGGATTGAAGCTCAGACTGAACGCTTAATTATCCTTCCCTGGGACATATCAGGCTATAAATTTGATTTACGAGATTACAAAGGGATTTACATCCCTAAATCTGAAAACAGAAACTGGGGGTAAGAAACACCTACTTTAGGATGTTGGTTTGAGGATCGTTAGAGTTTCCAATTGAATTTAAGTGATATTCTGGTGTATACATAAGAGCCATTTCTTATAGGAATATATGATAGGTGCATATATGTACATAGGAGGATCTGACCAGGGCTGGTTTTTATAAAAATTTCTATAGGTTACTTGCTTTTTCCCAATCTTTGTTCAACTTTCCTTTTCAACTATACATTTGTATGTAGCCTGTTACTAGAGTCCGACTATAAATAAGTTTCACCTTTCATTTGTTTTCCTCTACCTTGTGGAGAAAGATTTATTTAAGATAACAGTAATAAGCTACTGGGGGGAAAATGGCATCTAACATGACTGCTTTTGAAGCACACTACTTGGTAATCTCTGTGGGAGCCCTCTCATCATACTTTTAGCCCTCAAAATGTAAGCACTTATAATAAAATAAAGGTGGTTGCAGCAATAACTTAATTTCCTCAACCTCTATTGGAAAGGTCCACTGAACTACTTTGTGCAGCAAACTGACTGTTTGGGGTTCAGTTCTGCCTCCCTTACTCACACTGAGTAGTAATTTACTTCACAAGTAGTCCCATGAGAGGCTGACAGCAGACACTATTCATAATTCTATCACAGGCATTTGAAACCAGAATGTGTTTGAAAACGTGGCCCAGTATGTTTGGGTGCTAAAGGATCACATTTTTCAAAGGAAAACTGGGACCCACCCAAACTCTTGAATCCACCTCCAACAGGATCTATCCTTTTCATTGTTAAGTGATGCTGCATATCATTCATGCTTGCACTAAAGTAAATTTAAATATGATTTGGTGGCACTTTCTAGGGGGAAAAAAAGACTGGAAGAGGACTAAAGAAATGTACTTTACCTTCTCCGTAATGATACGATTTACACATTGTTTCCCAGTAAGTGGCAAATTACATTTTTCCATAATTTTGTGGACGTTGCCCTGCATTTAACAATAGACAGACAAACATTAGCTTTCAAGAACCAATACTTCATGTTCAGAATTCAGATAAGGATGAGAAAATAAGATGCTTAAAGCATCACAGGCATAAGCACCCTGCATGCATGAAACACACACTGTACTCAGACTTCTAACGCCGGAGTCTTTTCCTATGGCAGATTATATCTGATTCCAAACACTTTGTGCTAGAGCATGTCTTGGATCATGCGGAGGAGTAAAAGGGAATAAGAACTTCTTTACATCCTTGTGTGGGCTACACAGACCCTATGCCCAGTGTATTTCTACTTACTGCTTCCCTCTTCCTGGAGCACATGGGTGGGGAATGGGTGGAGCCCTAGCCAATTAATGCAGCTGAGCTGGTCTGGGGCTGTCATAATTGGCTGCTGGAATAAGGGGAAGGCAGGGAGGGAACTATGCCTCAAAGAAATCTCTCTGGAGAACCATGCCTCCTGGGGTGGTGCAATTCATAGAGCTTGTCTTGCTTGGGGCTGTGCCTAAAAGCACAATCTAGCTCTTTATTATTCAGGTGAAAGCCCAAATAGTGGCTACTCACTTGGGAGTTCACGGAAACTGTAGGAAACCTTCCATACCCATTCCTTTGTACACATTGCAGGTAACCAGCTCACTGACTCATTTTTGAGAGCTCAGACCACCACAAATATGAAACCCAGGCTCAGCAAGCCTCTTAGCTGCAGCTCTTTATTTCTACAGTCTCTGTTTTATTGGAAGGATGAAAGTTTGCAAGTATATCCACCAGTTATGGAGAAATTCTTAGTTCCCATTTCACCCTCCCAGTGATTCAGGGGACTCTATAGTAATGTGACCGTACATCCCCATTTACTCAGGATTTGGCAGTGATCCCCAGACTAAACCAACCAGGGATGCATGAAGTTTCTTTGTGAAAGTGTCATTCTGCCACGTACTTCTGCTGTGGCATTTTTCACCCCAACTCGTAAGGGCAAACCTAAGAGAAATTCCCATCTCCCTCCCATCCTGTTGGCTTCCAGAATCAGCCCTATTGTGGAAAATAATTAAAGAAGGTCATTGAGGGCGTGATATTTCTCTGACATGCTTATCTATGCACAGTACTTATAGAGAGTCTGATGCACACACGACAGAGTCCAGACCCTAAGAGGCTATACCCACAGCCAAGAATAGCTATTCATATTACCAAGTTCAGCCCCTCTACCCAACAGAGACTTCATGCTCACCTAGCACCCACCCCTTTCCCTGGGGCTACACACAGCAAAGTCAAGAAATGATACTAGCTGGACACAACTGTATCATCCAAAAGCCACATGGTTTCTCTCTTAGACAGAGCATCAGCCTGTAAATATTATCAAAAGGAATCTATTTAATTTCCTTCAGGGACACTATGTGTCAGCTGAACTATGAGACTTCCTGTTAAATGAATGTAGGCAGAAACTACTCTGAATGAACATAAAATGGACAGATCATTGCCTTTTGATTACTAGTTGTAAGTATTTTACAGATATAGCAGTAAGCGTACACTCTGGTAATATACTCTTGTCATTTTATGTCTAATTATCAGTTTACTTTTATAAATTTCAAAGAAGATCTAGAGTGTGGCAAGTCTAAATTAATGAGCTGACCTCTCTGATGAATTTTCTGAGTTTTACCACTGTCAGTTCTCTAAGTCTAGTATAGCTTGAGCAGCCATACCTCAGCAAAGGCAATTCCTGGATGCTGACAAAATGAGCAATCTGTGGGTTGTGAAAGAATTTTTTTCTGTGAGGAACTATTGCTTCATTCTAATTATATCAGCAAGATCCACATCTGGTATCAAGGCAACTACTCAGATAAAACTGACTCAGTCTTAATGAAAATAATGACTTGAGACAGACAGCATTACTTTCAAATAATCAACTTAGGAATTACCTTTCTCAAGGACCTTCCAGCATTCTGTTCTCATAACAGCCAAGATTGATCTGCACTATTTTAAAAGTTTTCAGTAACACAGCAAGTACACCTTTAAGGTCATGTAATATCTCCTCTTGGTATCCTGTGGAGACTGAAATGTACAGGCTTGCAGTGGTGATAGCTCGAAGAGAGCCTCAGTGACCCTGAGAGCAGATGCATTTCAGCTTCTTGAAAAGTTCAGCTGAAGATTACTTTATTGCTGCTTATTATCTGAGCTGGCTTTTGGCACCCACACACCTCCACCCATATCTGCAGGACCACACCAGATTGAGAACTCAAATGGGACTGTGGGATCTGTTACCGTCTGTTTTTAAGAGGTGTTCATTGGATAAAAGAGGAGCATAAGTGTGTGTGGGGGTGGAGTGTGGCGGGGAGGGGGACAAAATCCTAAATCTGGTTCAACCTGTGCTAAAAATTGTTTTGTTGAGTAACACATTTTGTTATTTGAGAGTGAAAACATCATTAATCTACCACGATGCATCAACATTAGAACTGTTCACAACAGGGGAGCGGATGACACAGGGTAATGGGATGAGCTTTCTCGATCACCTGTGTCAGTTCAACCCCCAGCCAACGGTGGTTGAAATCAGTTACAATCTCTTTGTTCAGTGATCTGCACTAGAGGTCTCCATCCAACTCTAACTTCACAAAGGCACCATTACAACACTGCTATATACATTTTTTTACCGTTCTTAGCAAAAAAAAAGTCCTCATACCCGTTCAGTTGTTAACCTAACTTGATTTTTATTACTCCTGGGCAGGGGTAGTGCATGTTTCGCCAAACTGCCTAACGTTGCATGTTCTGTGCCTGTTTGGTGGATAAATAAAACATCACTCTCTAGCAGTATTGCCTTCCTCGTCTTTACAAGCAAAAAACTCACTTGGAAAAAAAAGATAAAAGAATTGCTGACAGCAGTTACTACCTAATCCAGGGGAGGGCAAACTACGGCCCGCAGGCCGGATCCAGCCCATCAGAGCTTTCAATCTGGCCCGCAGGATTGCCAGCCCCATGGTGCAGTGGGGCTAAAGCAGGCTCCCTGACTGCCCTGGCCCCATGCCGCTCCCAGAAGCGGCCAGCACCATGTCTCTGCGACCCCTGGGGGAGGGGCAGAGGGCTCCGTGCGCTGCCCTCGCTTGCAGGCACTGCCCCCCGCAGCTCCCATTGGCCGGGAACAGGGAACAGTGGCCCATGGGAGCTTCGGGGGTGGTACCCACAGGTGAGGGCAGCGTGCGGCGGAGCCGACTGCCCCACCCCGCCCCCAGGAGCCACTGCCGGACATGCTGGCCACTTCCGGGAGTGGCGCAGGGCCAGGGCAGGCAGGGAATTTGCCTTAGCCCTGCTGCGCGCTGCTGCCACCCTGGTGCCACTCGAGGTAAGCGGCGCCGGGCTGGAGCCTGCAACCTGAACCTCTCCTGCACCCTGCATCCCAACCCCCTGCCCTGACCCTCTGCCTTGAGCCCATGCCGCACCCCTCCTGCACCCCAACCCCCTGCCCTGAGCCCCCAACCCCGCCCTGAGCCCCCTGCCGCACTCCCTCCTGCACCCCAACCCCCTGCCCTGAGCCCCCTCCCACACGTTGCACCCCCTCCTGCACCCCAACCCCCTGCCCTGAGCCCCCTCCCACGCCCCGCACTCCCTCCCGCACCCCAACCCTCTGCTCCAGCCCTACATTCATGACCCCATTTCCCCACCCAGATGTGGCCCTCGGGCCAAAAAGTTTGCCCACCCGTGACCTAATGAAACAACAGTAAAACAATGTTCTCGATTTTTTAAATATATACCCTGATACTGTAAATCAGAGCCCACGAGTAGAAAACCCCTAGCATTCAAGCACTTCTCAAAGTTTAAAGGAAGATGCACAAATAAACAATGGAAGTGCTGGTTGCAACTTCATAATTAACATTGAGTTCTATCTTGCACTTAGTGCAGGGATTCAACCTCTCTGTATGAAAAATACAGCATATTGTCTTCAAAAGTACAGCACTTACTCTTGAGTACAGAACAAATTTTCTGAGAATTTACAAGTGTATCATAACAACCTGGAAGTTTTGTGAGTCATCACTGTAGCTGAAGATGTAAAAAAAATTTAAACTGGTTATAAGATAAAAAGTTTCAAGAGTGGGCTAAATTCATTATCAGGGCTATCTAATGTATCAACCATAGAACATACCTGGTGACTCTGCTTGCAACAGATATTAACATGGTAATGATGAGCCGCCACCACCACCACACTACATCTAAATCCCCTTGAATTTTGGGAAGGTTCAGACCCAGATGTGAACTCTTGGGCTGATCTCCAGTATTAAATGTTTGCCACTTTTTCTTTCAAATAGAAATAGAAGAGACTATAGAACTAAAAATGATAGCTTCAACTGAAAAATAACTGGATCATCCTGACTCATACCACAATACAAAATGATGGTTTCCCAAATCTCCAGAATAAGTGGTGTGGTAGAACCGAGGTGACGTCCTATTCATCCTAAACTTGCACTTATCACAGAGAGTGCAAACATCACAGAAGTTATGGTACGGCTAAGTGTGAAGAAAACTACTTTGGTGTTTATGAAGACTGACAATGCCCAAATTCAATATTCTTTGCCAATGCTGAAGTTACGTTGACAATTCTTGACATTGCAGTGAGCTTGGTTGGTATCTAGTTCCTTCACCCTCTAGCTTTTCCCACACATAATATTTCTTCTGTTTTTTCCTCCACTACTGGCATTCACAGACACTTCAGAAGCCTTGGAGGATCTGATGTCAATCATTCCTTTTTGCTGCAGCTAGATGTCATTCCTCTCTCCTCTGTAGCCTTTCACTACACTTCAATGTCTTACATCTTGATTTCTGTTAATCCATCATCAGATCCTAACCTTGTCAGTGAATTATCTTATTACTGTTTATTTGCAGAGCAACAAGTAAGACAAAGCGATATCTGCTCTGAAGATGCTGCAATCTAAACAGATAACATACAAACCAGCGATGTCTTTGGCTGTCTCTAAGGGTACGTCTTCACTACCCGCCACATCGGCGGGTAGTAATC